GATCCCTCAAACTCATGTTCCTCAAATGTGCTGGGATGGCAGTTCCACAAGTCACTAGCTTACAGAAGGCTTCTAAATCATCATTCTGGGGGAAAAACAGGTGATTTAAATGATGATTTAAATGATGATTTTAAAACAGGTGATTAAAATTCAATAATTTTCAATATATCTTGCAATCCAGGCCAAAGGAGGAGAGCACCTAAATCCAGCTAAGATCATGCTGAACCTTGCATCTTTAAATAAGTATCATTTCTTTCATTCTTCTCCTATATGGAATTAGAACAAGACAAACTTATGCTTCCTTTCCAGACTGGTCTTTGAGGAGCTTAGCTAATACGGTGGATATGGCTGTTTTCTCTGTCTGGTTATCTCCAGCATCTGGAATATAACCGCTTCCCTATATGGAAATTCTATTTGGGTCTTATGGTCAGTAGCCTTCAATTATCAAATGTCCTTCATCTTTCTAAAGCTGTAATTCTAATCGCATTTTACACCAATGTGTTTTGTATCTCACTGGTTTCTTCATAAATCCGTTGGAAATTGAGTCAAAATGTAACTCCTAAACAATAATTTCTCTCTTTCTTTTCCTGTCTCCTGCAGCAGGGGTCCCCAACCACCGGGCCGCGGACCGGTACCGGTCCACGGAACAAGTCCTACCGGGCCGCTGGTTGCTGGGTGCCGCCATCTTTTTTTGATGAAAAAGTGCTTCCGGTGAGCTTTTCCGGGTAGAAAGCTCACCGGAAGTACTTTTTCATCAAAAAAAGATGGCGGCATCCAGCTGATGCCGGTACCGGGCCACGGCATAAAAAAGGTTGGGGATCACTGTCCTGCAGTAACCTGCAAAAGATGGGCTGCTTTAGCAAGTAACGGAGGGGTGCTGACCATACATGAGAGCCAAAACACTTCTTGGGAATCATTTTCAAAGCATGTCCTTCCATAGCCATTTCATTGCTTTTATCTGACCTGATCTTTAATTGCCCTTCACTATTTTTCAGCTGGCTTTTTAGATCCACCAATTTATCCTCTGTGCCTCCCCATTATTATTATTTATTTATTTATTATTTATTGATTACATTTATTTGCCACCCATCTCGTATCAAACCAACTCTGGCAGCTACACAGCCAGTGGTGGGATTCAAATTTTTTTTACTACCGGTTCTGTGGGCGTGGCTTGGTGGCCGTGGCAGGGGAAGGATATTGTAAAATCTTCAGTCAGTGGTTGCATTTGCCGGTTCTCCAAACTACTCAAAATTTCCACTACTGGTTCTCCAGAACTGGTCAGAACCTGCTGAATGCCACCTCTGTACACAGCCTATTACAAGCAGGAAGCACTTAAATAGAAAAAAAAGGAGAAAGGAGATGGGAAGCACATTTTTAACAAGGGAGGATATGTTGTATTTCAGTTACATATACTACAATAATTACCTAGCAACCTTCAAGGTCTTTAGAAAAGTGAGTTCTGAGAAGGGCATAAAGTTTTAGGAAGGACATGAATAAACAAAATGGGTCCGTGAGGCAATTCCAGGCACAAGATGCAGCAGAGAGCATGGGTAGGTCATTTCAGGAACCCAAAAATGTTTGGATAGCTGAGGATAGTAGAGCAGGACGACTGAAGGTCACCAGAAGGCATTCATTAGATCATAAGGGCAGAGAGAGAAGCAAGAAGGCAGCCCTGGAGGGCTTTTGAAAATGAGATTATACTGCTGGCTAAGCCCTGGAGAAGAAAGTGAATTAGGAAATTTATATTATACTGTATTTATATTTGCATAAGGCACATAGCTCACCTTTTTCTCAAGGGTAGCTTATATGAAGACTTTCGTTCATTTTATTCCCATAATAAACCTGCAAGATAGGTTGTCCGAGACATAAGGACTAGCCCAGAGATCTCCAAACTTGGCAACTTTAAGACTTGACTGGAGAATTCTGGGAGTTGAAATCCACAAGTCTTCAAGTTGCCAAGTTTGGGGACCCCTGGACTAGTCAATGTCATCCAATGAGCTTCCTGTGACCGTGGATAGATTGGAACCTGCATCTCCTGAGCCTTGTCCAACAGCACAAGCACTAACCACACTGGCTTTCTGGAGCATTGAGACCACCGCCTAATTTATTGCCAGACTTTGAGAAGGAACTTACATATTGTATTCATACTTACTAATACATAAGAACAAAACCCACAAGCAGATCTCCTGTAAGTTGTACAAGTGTCCAATCACTTTTTTGGCTTAATTTTGAAAGAGATCTTCTGACCAACTCTTTGATGATGAAGGATTCCTAGCCGTGCTTACAGCATGGATACTGGATTCCCTCAAACTTCCTGCCTGAAGCAGGTTTTCATTTTACTTGGAGCAAACTCTACCCATCGTTGAGGTATTTTGGATCTCACTTGCTATCATTTAAGAAGGAAAAGTCAAACCCCCAAACATCAATTTAGCTTCTAATTCATATTTAACTCTTTTGACATTCCCCCTTTCTTTCTTAAAATGTCATAATTGCCAAATATGATCTTCAAAAGACTTCTCCAAGCTTTGAAGGGAGCTAAAGTGCTTTCCCAGCCAGTTTTTTTTTTTTTTTCTTCCAAAATGTTAATACTTTTCAACCTGAGGGCTAGGAGCAAGAGAGGGTTAAAATAAAGGAATAAAATAGAGGAACAAACCCTGCAGGGCTCAGCATTGTTCCCCAACCCCCAAAGAAAACCTTTAAGCTTCTTTTCAAATGTATCTCTCGCTCTCCTTCCTGAGAACATTTCACATGGTTAGCGAGTCAGGTGCTCCTTCCCTGATGGGTGGGAGCAAATTTAATGTAGCTGACCAGTCTGTTAGTGGCTGTGTTCGTTGCTGTCTGCAGGATGGATGGATGGATGGATGGATGGATGGATGGATGGATGATTGACAGACCCAGCCTCAACACAGATTGTCCTGTTTCTAAGGCTCAGTTTTTAAGACATCTGAAAAGTTTGAAGTATATGTAGAACATCCTGCTCTCTGTGTCATTCAGTTACCATAATCTGACTCCATTGTTACAGCCTCAACCCCTCACAGCTTCAACCTCAAACTGTCTACAGTGGACCTCAACCCATTCTTAAGAGGTCTTTAAAGGGGTGTACATAAGCACCCCAGCGTGCCTACCGCCCCTGGCTTACTGTCCCCATTTATCTGTATTTACTTCCTTTGTTCATGTTTATGTTCATACCTAGACTTGTTACCTTGTACATGTTTGACAAACAAACAAACAGATAAATAATAAATAATCAGTTAATCTAATAGATCTGTCTCAGGAATCGGATATCTATTTGGTTTATATCACTCTTCCTCAATGGGATGGCCTTCAGAGTTTCTAGGATGGCAAATCCTAGAATTTCTACCCAGATGATGGGAAGCCATCATGTTGGGCAAGGGTCATGTACACCTGATGGAAGAGGAGGTTAGAAAGAGCATTTTAAAAAGACGAACAAGAGGAAACTAAGGTGAGCAGATTTTTTAGAAAGTGGTGAAACCTTACAGGATAAAGCTTATCTCAAACTATGTTGCCACTTAGAGTTGAGTTGATTTTATAAACAATGACTCCGTAAACCAGGGGTGTCCAACCTTGGCAACTTTAAGACTTGTGGACTTCAAGCTGGCTGAGGAATTATGGGAGTTGAAGTCCACAAGTCTTAAAGTTGCCAAGGTTGGACACCCCTGCCGTAAACTATGGGTATCTCAGCTGTGAGCCTGTTGCTGTCTTACATTCAAGAATAGGGCTGTCAAACTCCCGGCCCATGGGCTGGATGTGTCATGCTGGCCACTCCCGTTTTAGCGAAGGGGGGGAAAGTCCTGATATATCACGTGACGCTGCCATGATGCCGTGAGTTTGACACCCCTGATTTAGGCAATCAAGGAAAAAGCTGTCATTCTCCAAATGGATGGGTGTCCTTCAGATGTTTAAGGACGGCCAGACAGTAGAGAACTACTCTAAGGCCATTTGCTGGGATAGTCCATTGAAATAGAAAGGATTTATTCTTGAGGAAGTTATCCTGACCCTTGTCCAGAGGTGGTATTCAGCAGGTTCTGACCAGTTCTGGAGAACCGGTAGTGGAAATTTTGAGTTCAGAGAACCGGCAAATGCCACCTCTGACTGGCCTCGCCCCCATCTATTCTCTGCCTCGCGAGTCCCAGCTGATTGGCTGGGTCTTCTTTGGTTGCCCTGCACAGGAGAACGGAGCTGGAAAGCAGGTTAATGGGGTGGGGAGGGAATGGGATTTTGCAGTATCCTTCCCCTGCCACGCCCACCAAACCACGCCCACCAAGCCATGTCCACGGAACCAGTAGTAAAGAAATTTGAATCCCACCACTGCCCTTGTCCACCAGTCTCAAGATTGTGGTGGATCCATGTGCAGTGATCTCATAATAAACACTTTGGGTATTTTTATTTTTTTAAAAATGGATTTTTTTAAAAAAGTAAACTCCCTCTCAGAAATGCAGAGTTGATCACAAGTACCTACATGCATGGTAGCAGGACCTGAAAAACAATCTACAAGATAGTCCAACTGCGACCATTCCCTGCCAAAGATGGGGATGTCACAAAAAGCTTTGTTTACAGAGGTGTGGCTGATCAGTCAAAGTAACAATTAAATCCAGCTATGTTGCTTTAAAAACAAATCCTCAAAACTCAAGTAAAAGAGGTGGGTAAAGGGAAGGTTATATGGAGATGGAGCAGAGAAACCCGATCATTCCCCAAATCACACCTACAAAAGGTTGGGGGACAGGCCGGTCAGGATAGTGGGCAATTAAGACAATTTTAAAAACAGTGGGGGAGGGGGGCTGAGGGGAGGGAATGACTCCATGTTCTTTCAACTGCCTGAGGGAAAAGCAGGACATTGATAACTTGGCAACTCCAGCCCTTTCCTCTCTGAATAGTCACCCCAAAAAAACATTTAAAAATAATTTTATAAAATCTATTGGCTTCACCTTTAAAATAATGACTCATTTTATTCATTTTTTTTTATATTTTAATATGTCGTTATAAATATATCTTGCCAAAATATATGATTATTATTGTCAAAACATTTGCACATAAATAAGGTCAAGGAGAATGGATCAAGGGAGTTGTAGTTGTTACTGGAGAGAAAGAGGCGGATCAGGTTTGGCTTCCTCTGTGAAATCAAAGGCCATTCCCCCCACCCCACCCTTCATCTTGGGCACATTTTGGCCAGACTGTCTGGGAGGTGGCTAAGAGGAAGAGATGAGGAGAACTCATTTCCCCCCACTCCTCCTTTAACGACAGCCGCATCCCTCTACCACCATTTCCTGGTAGTTCTTGAGAACAACTTTATCGTACTCATCCAAATAGAGCATGGAGATAGCGCTGAGCTCTGTGGGGACACAGCAGGCTTTGGGAATGCTGGCGTTGACGGAATTCACCAGAGTCTGCACAATGGCGTGGTTGGTGGAGTTGAGGTGGTCAGCCAAAGGGAAGGGGCAATCCCCGTGGCAATAGAAAGCTTGGTAGCCTGGGGGGGCCACAATCCAGTCATTCCAGCCCACGTCGCTGAAATCCACGTACAGGGCATGGCGGCGACAATTCTTCTTGCTCTTGCGCGGCCGCTGGTGCGCATGCTTAGGGCTGCGTTTGGTCCTCCGGGTGAGCAGAGACTGGCCCCTGCCATCGTGGCTGAAGGTGACCAGGAGAGGCCGGAGGTGAGCCCATTCAGCATCCTCCAGACGGTCTCCTTGAGGTAAAGAGCGGCTAATCCGGACATGTTTGCCCTGGTGAGTCTGCGTGGGGTAGAGGTGGATGACCTCCACTGCCAGCCCATGGTTAGGCTGGCCACCTGTGGTCCATCGGATGACTGCGGGGCTCACATCAAAGCTCTCCCAGCGGCTCACATTGTGATGCACCAGGCGTGTGTCCAGCAGTCTGGTGATCAAGTCCCCCCCTTGCAGGGGCTTCATCACCTCATAAATGTTGATCCGGTGGAAGCCTTTCTCCCAAGCCGCTGCCGTCGCCACGGCTTCCGCTTCATGGATTTGCTGTCGAAAGAGTCTCAGCTCTGCAGAAGAGATGGGCTCGGTGGGCGGCACGCTGCTGAGGTTGAAAAAGAAGTGGAAGCGAGTGGGTTGATTCCATGGGTTGGCCACATGTTCCAGGTGTTCTGGAGGATGGAAGAGACAGAGAGAGAGAGAGAGAGAAGCACAAAGGGGAAAAGGTTAGCAGGATGCACCAAGGAGAAGATGCAGTTTCACAAGCCCAGAAAATTATAGACATTATATTAGTGAAAGGATGACACCACGGGGTGTGATTTCCCTGCTGTTGTGTACCAAGATGGAAAGGATGCCCCCTCCCATAAAGAACATTCTCCTTGCCCCCCTCCCCCCCCGTTTTCATGGATTTCATTTGCTTTAACAGAATAACAGAGTTGGAAGCAGTGGTGGTATTCAAATGAAGTTGCCACCGGTTCGGTGGGCGTGGGTTGGTGGCTGCGCTTTGTGCGCATGCACATTTTGCATGCACGCGTGTGCCAAACACGCACTTTGTGCAGGCACAGAGGCGTTCTAACTTGCCTCCTGCAAACCTGCACGATGCTGGTCGCTGCAGCTTTGAATTCTGGCCATAAAAGTGAGTATGGAAGCCCAGGCCGGGGGCGGGGGTGGGGGGGCAAACACAGAGCAGCAAAGAGAACCGGTTCGGTCTCCACTGCTCATCGCCGCTACCGGGTCTCCAGAACTGGGCAGAACCGGTCGAATAACACCACTGATTGGAAGGGACCATGGAGGTCTTCTACTTCAAACCCCTGCTCAGGCAGGAAACCCTATACCAGGGGTCAGCAACCTGTGGCTCTGGAGCTGCATGTGGCTCTTTCCTCCCACTGCTGCGGCTCCCTGTTGTTGGTTGGGTCCACAATTGATAGGGATTTTGGTTGGGACAAGTAGAGGAAAAAGGATGCCATGCTAGGAGGAGACTCTATGGTGGGGGAACCACCATAGAGTCTGGTTGGCTCCAGAATTGAATGGAGGGCTTCCAGTTAGGACTTTTGTGGCTCTTTGAGTGTTTAAGGTTGCCGCCCCCTGCCCTATACCATATCAGATAAATGGTTGTCCAATCTCTTCTTACAAACCTCCAGTGTTGGAGCATCCACAACGACTGAAGGCAAGTTGTTCCACTGATTAACTGTTCAAACTGTCAGGAAATGTCAAGTCACTGCCCATGATACATGTCATGAGATTGCCAACAAAGCAAATAAATTATGGGAAAGCCCTGCTGAGATTTAACTTTTCAACATAGAACAGCCTTCTTCGCTGGATTCCCCAACATGATTTCCTGGGAAACTAAGCCAACCAAATGAAGTTCTTTCTTCACAAGATATCAAGAAGGTTGCAATCTATATTTCAAGGACTGTTTAGTTGGAACTTAGCCCCAGTGAAATCAGTAGGGCTCCTATCAGTGTTATGATGCAGCAGCCAGGATGATCCAAGGGGATACTGAGGCAAAATGTTGGATGCCCCAGACAAACTTGCCCAAAACAAGCTTGGCAGCATCCTTTGCTTTGGTCCCACCTCAGTAACCATCTGCAGGGGGCTGCCAAAGTTCAGCTAGGGCACCTAGTCATGCCTGTGTGCACATATCCCTTGTCCTAATTGTATCATAATTCATTCTTGCATTGATAGAGTGCCAGGCACGTGCCCAGCCCTGGACACCATAAAGAGAAAAATGGACTGTGCCCCATGGAGGGTGGGTGAGAATAGAAAGCAGAATTTGTGATCACATCTTTAGGAAACAACAAAAGTGTCACCCTTCCCAGGATCGGTTCTCCTGATCCCTAAATTTCAAGTCATTTCAGAAGCAACAGTAAGAGACAGATGGAGCTCACCATTCACAGAACGGTGGTTAGATAAGATGAAATATATCTGCTCTGAAAGAGAACAGCAGATTGCAAAAGATATTTGTCTACTAAGAAATGCTCTCCGAAATATGCAGATTTCTTTTTAAAAACTCCATGTGTTTTTTTTAAAAATTCTTTAGAATAGATTCACCTACAGTACACACAACTTAGTTTCACAGCTTTACAGAAGTCCAGATTCCCAAAAATACAATCCTGAACAAGTAAATGGACTTTTCTTTAGGGAGTGGGAGACCCAAAACTCATACTAGGAAACATTTGGAGATCCAGTTAAACACACCCCTCCCCTCTTTCTAGTCATTCACATTGGTCATTAAAAAGGAGAATGTATAGACACACACCCCACCCCTTCAAAACAACAAGTGAATGGAAACAGTTTTATCTAAAGTTAGTACGGAGAGCAATAATAATTCCTACATAAACTCCTAAGGAGCAGGATAACAATCCAGTGTAACCAGCGTGAAATCTGGAATCTCGCTGGTGTTATCTGATGGAATATGTTCTTAGAGCTCCATGTGCAGGATGTGAGTGCTAACGCTCTCACTTTGTCTCTTGCACACAAACACACACAAACACACAGACACACACAGCGTGTGCTCTATTCAAGCTATGAAACCAATGATAATTATTCAGTAATAGGAATAATTGCTATTTTTATTACCATGCCAATTCTATCTGGATGAATTCTCAATGGTGCAACTGTGGCTTTCCGTATCTTTCTGTTTCTTAACGAAGCCACGGGCACCCTGCTAACTGTTAGGACAGTGAGAAGAAGGACAAACACCACAGGCTGTTATTTCCTAGGCAAAATGCTTTTTAAAAAAAAAATCAAGGACAGTGCATAAAATATCCCGCAAAGGAACCCCTCCCTGTTCTGGAGACTGCTAAATATGAAGAAATGAAAAGAAGTGGGACCCCCATCCTATGCCCTCCCTTTCCCAGGACAGTCCAATCCACAATCTAGAATATAATTCTGAAAAGGCAAACTTTCCGCTTAAATCTACCACATACAAAATGCAAATTGCTAGAAAGAGCAAAATATCCGGAAGGGAGGGGAGTAAATAAATCTGCCTACCTGCCCCTCCAGTCGAATTCCCAGGTGAAGAAGCTTCCAAAAAGCTGTTTCTGCAGCCTGCTTTTCCTATGCTAGCCAATCGGATTTGGGGGAGCTCGTAAGGGGATGCTTCAGTTGCTGATATGGTCACATTCCCCGCCCCCCTTAATTACTCTGAAGAGACAATTCTGCGATCCCATCACTTCTCCTTTTATTGCAACAACACCCGAACCCACCAAACTTCTCATCCTGCAACGCACCTTCATGGTGAAAGCTTCTCACAGTGTTGGCACGGCTGGTCGATTTCTCGGGATATTGGAGGTTGAGATCTTGAAGATTTTCCTCCTCGTCCCCAGACTGGAGGCGATAGAGATCCATCATGTAAGAAGGGATGATGGCTGTTTTGCTGGGCTGTGGCCGTCGGCGCAGCCCAAACATCTGGAGGAGGGTGGCCTCGAACCCACGCAAGAGTTCATGGTTTGGGAACAGGCGGTGTGCAGTTCCCGAGGCGCCCTCTCCGTCCCCTCCTCCTCCTCCTTCTCCTCCTCCTCCTCCTCCTCGCTGCTGCTGTTGATGCAAACCCGCAGCCACCTTCTTCTTCCCAGTCTCAGCAGGTATCAAACTGGCCCGGTTGGAACCTCCTAGGATCACTTGGCACAATAGAATGACCATCAGCATTCGGCTACCAGGCGTCATGGTGTCTCTGGGGGGGGGGTTGGAAGTGAGAGGGGGCAGGAAGCAGGGAAGGGAGGAGAAAAGGAGCCAGAGCAAGCAAATAAGGTTGGTGAAATATTTTTTTAAAAAAGCACCCAATAGCCTACCCTTTGGGGGTTGTGGGGGGGGGGATGCACACAACAGCTTTTTTTTTTTTTTGTTAAAGAAAAGAAGTGGCTACTAAAACTTTGGGCATAATGCCTTCTGTTCCCCATCCAACGAATTCCCACCTCTCTTTTCACCCTTCTGTTTCTATCTTGACTAGGCTGGGCTAAAAAGGCGGACTGTCCTGGAAGAAGTTCTCGAGGGAACGCTCCCATTCAAATCCATCTCCGTGGAAGGACCGTTTCCCACGCACCCACCCACCGGTAAAATCTCAAGACGCTCCTCGGTCGGAGCTGCCCCCTTTGCAACGGAGGGAGGAAAAACCCGCGGGGCGGGAGCTGCGGGTCGGACGCTTCGGTTCATTGTTAATAAGCCTCCCCGTTCGGTGCGGAGCGCTCGCCCATCGGACGCGTTTGGGTGCTTTACAACCTTCCCGCTTCGTGGACGCTAACCACTAGGACCTGCCTCTCTCTCTCTTCCCCCCTCCCCAACTCCCAAGGATCTCTCCTGATTTAAGTGCTTTGTGATCCCAGAGGGAGGGGAAAGCGGGGGAGGGGGGCGGATAAGGATGCCCCCCCACCTACTCCCCGCAGAACCCTAAAGGGGGCTTTTACCTTTTGGGAAGATGAAGAGAGGTTTAATCTATTGGAATAAGTAAAGCGCGGCGCTATCCATGTTTACTCGGAAAATAAACTCGGGTCGAGGGAGTTTGTTAGGTTCAAGGGAGCGGGCGTTAAAGTCTGCCAGCCCGACCCGCTTCGCAGCGACTTCTTTTTCAGGTGCCGAAGAAAATCAATTACAGAAATGGAAAATCCACAAGGAAGGCGGTCACTTTTTTTTTTCTTCCTCTCTCTCTCTCTCACACACACACACGCACGCACACACACACGCGCGCGCGCGCGCACACACACTCCGGATCGCTTCTAGCCTTAAAATGACTTTTACGCTTTACATCAAAACCACAAGGGAGGGGGGGGAAAACAACAACACGAAAGCGCTACTCACTGACAGAAAGCAAGGCATACAAAAACAGTCCATGGTTCTTGACAGCCAGCGTGAAACACGACTCGTGTGGGTGGGGGAACCTCGCCGCGCAGGGAAATCCGGAGTCCGCTGGAGGGAAAGAGGAGAGAATCGCTCTTGGCTGCCGCCGCCGCCGCTGTAGCTATTACGGACCGCTTCTGCGAAGTGCGGATAGGAACGATCGCTGGGACCTGATGCTCCGGAGTGGCTCCTGGAAAAGGGATATATTTGAATATAATGAAACACCCCCCTCCACAGGCCGCTGCTTTTCTTCCAGCTCCAGGCAGAGTCACGTGGGCTGGAGAAGTCACTCCTCGCACCGGCCTGTCCATCAGTGCAGCACAAGCAAAGCACCGCCCTCCCCGCTTCACCCCCTTTCACCCTCCCCTCCCATACTGGGATTTGCAAGTGGATGTCCCACCCCTTTGGCCTCTGTCAATCTCTCCGTAGCTCCACTCAATTCACTCACTTTTTTTTTCTTTCAAAGGCACGGGCTTCTGCGGGGTTGACTTTAATGGGAGTGGGTCTTCCAGCTGGGCTGATCTGGAGGGCATCAGATTGGGGAAAGTTACAAAACCCATTGCCTGTAAGGTCAGGGGAGAGCTTGTGGGTGTGTGAACGGGTTGTCATGCACAACCCAACTCTTCTCACCTTATCTCAGGCTGATTTAGTGCCTGCCAAAGAATCCAGCTCAGACCTTGGACTGCCGCTCCTCAGTGTCCAATGGGAGTCTAGAAGGAAATCTTGCAATTCCCCAAGAACAGTGTCCCATTTATTTAGCCAAGTATAATCCCAAACTTCATTACAAAGTAGCACTCTATGCTCAGTAAATATAGAATTTCAAATTCTTGCGGTAAGTGTGAAGTCCTTGCACTTATTAATTTATGAGGTCACTAAGGCACACAATCTGCTCTCCAATAGTCTGCACTTCCCTACATCTCATTCTTCGAATCCAAGGAAAGTAGTAATGAAAGAAGTTTAATTTTATCTATCTACAATGTGTGTGAAGAATTCCAAAAAGCCATTTGTGCACCTTTCTACTAACTGCTCTTTCTCTTTCTCTTTCTCTCTCTCTCTCTCTCTCACACACACACACACCTGCACCCTAAACATACAGAGATTGGGATCTAGTAGAAGCTTAATCCATAAAAAGGTTGTCCCCAAAAGTCCTTTTTCAAAAGGCAACTGGACTTGTGTGTGATTTTTTTTCCCCCTTGAGGAAGAAGAAGAAGATGTTTCGCTTCTCATCCAAGAAGCTTCATCAGTTCTGGTAGGATGGTGGGGGTGATGGAAGAATTAGGGTTGTCTCCACTTTTTGCTTACAGATTCACTTTGGAGTCTAATGGGAGACCCTTCTGTGCAGGTGGGATCTTTGGGGTTAGTAGCGATAGGGCCCAAGTGGCATGTAAGGCTGGGTAAGACTTCATTGGTTCATCTGTGGAGTTATAGTAGTGTTGATCCACAGTTGGCCACCTTAGTCATATAAACAGGTATTCTATCTCACTGGGCTGCAAGCTGAGATGGGCTACTGGACGAATAGTAGCCCAAAATAGCTGCCTGCTGGTGCGAGGGGGCTCACCACTATACCACCAATGCAACGAGGCTCATGATTTAATTAGCGCAATCGTTGGAACCCTGACAGCAAGCCAACTCTTCACATAACTGTCAACGTCTTTCTTTATGCTGGGCCACCAGAATTGCCTCCGTGCTAAGTGTAAAGTCTTCAAGAACCCAACGTGGCCTGCCGTTTTGGCGGTGTGGCTCCTCTGGAGGACTAGGGTGCATAGGGAAACATTATGCCTGTGTGGACACAAGCGCAAGAAGTATACAGAAACAAAGAACCTTGTGCCTTGGCAGACAGAATGTTGACTTTATCAAAACCCCGAACAGCAGTGTTGCACATTGCCAAGTACTTCTTAGCCTCTCTTCTCCCACGTGATGTGAGAGATTCATGTTTATACATACATAAGATGCCACATTATCCTGGCAATCCTGGGCTATTGAGCTGCAATTGCATTTTAAATAATAGCCACTGTGGGCAGCTTATAATGTACCCAGATTCAAATCCACCTTCAGTCATGGCCAAGTCATTCATGGGGTGACTTTGGGCTAATTACTTGCTCAGGTTAATTTACCCCATGAGGTTGCTATGCAGATAAAAGTGAAGGGAAATCGCCCTGTAAATCACATTACCATGAGTTCCTGGAGATATGGCAGGATGTAGAAGGAAAAGGGGGAGGAGAAATAACTTGTCCTGTATTTGTGGGTCACAGAGAAGGATACAAAAAATAAAAACAATGAAAACAATCTCAAAAAAAATTTAAAAGCATAGAAATGGCGGTATGATGAAATCCCACAATTCAGTATGCATAATCTGAGGAGATAAAAATGATATTCATTTGATACTAAAATAATACCAGTTTGGAGAAAGGTCTAACTTCTGCATAGTAGGTCATAATTATAGGATCATACATTTCTTGTATCTTGACATAATAGTCTTTTCTTACTAGCAGGGCACAGAGAATAACTCCATTTGCTGATTTTAACTCTTGAGCAGGAGTAGACAGGGAGAAGTATTCCTCTAGTGCTGAAGCTCCACACCACTTGTTGTTTTACATACCTTCCTATTAGCTTCTCTTTAAATTACCAGCATATTGGAAACCAAATACATTTTTTAAAAAACTGATCAGGTCTGTTTTCTAAATAATGCCACCATTATCCAGCAACTGCATCCAATGCCAGTGTTGCAGTTTCCAATTCTTATAGTAAATGGTTCTTTTTCTGTTTTTTTTTTTCTTTTTGTTTATCAAGATAAATATTCCAAATTCTGCTCTTACTGTGCCAGTTGATTTCATCATCAGAATGTCTGAAAGAGGCTTCTTTGATAGAGCTTTGAAATAACTTCTTTAAGAACTTGTCTTTAGCAAGGCCACTCTGGCCATTTAGAAAGGTTGTAAACTGGACTCACTCTTTACACTGGCAATTCATGCTTCACATTTCGGCTTTTATTCTGTCCTAAGAAGCAGGATAGAAAGAAAATTTGACACTTTTGAACTTTGGTGTTGCAGATAACTGCTGAGAATGGCCGGCTAAGAAAAGAAATGGACCTTTGAACAAATCTGCCTCCAAGTATTTTGCATTATTTCCTATTTTTGTTTCATCTGGGATTTAATAATCATATTTTCATGGAATCAAAGTGGAAAGGGACTTGAATATCTTCTAGTCCAACTTCCTGCTTAGGGCAGAAAACTTCATTCCCATTTCAGGCAAAAGGATATCCAACTTTTGTTTAAAAACTTCCAATGAAGGGCCATCAGGAGTCAGGTTACTTGACTATTTAATAGTTATCACAGTTTTAAAAATGCATTCTTATTGTACAAAGAAAAAAAATGAAAAGAGATCAATATCTAAGATATTATTTGAAAGGGCTAAAGATCAAAAAATGTTAAGAGTAAAAGGAAGGAATGTAAAGTTGGTTTATTTGATCAACATTAAAATAGATAAATTGCTACCTCTGGTAACCTTTAAAGAACTTTCCTGAAATCAGGACTGAAATGCCAAGGCTTTATGGATTGTTTTATAGAAAAGAGATGGAACATGCAAAGAAGAGATCATTTGTTGTATTTTAAGAGAAGGTAAAAAATCATTAAAATGGTTTACACTTGTGGTGGGGAAGGTAGGATGTCATTTCCTACATATTTTTTGTTTTTCTTTACTTATTTCTTATTTTTTCTATCTTTTTTCTCTTTTTGCATATTCTGCTTTTTATTTTTATTCTTTTATTTTTACATTATATTAGTTTTTAATAAAATTATTATTAAGAATAGTAATTCATCCCTATTTCAAGGAATGGATCTCTCTGTGTAAAGCTCTGTAAAGTTTTTGTTGCTTTTCTCCATACTCCATACTCTTTCTAGTTTCTCGTCATCCTTCTTAAATTGTGGTGGTCAGAACTTGACATGGTATTCCAGCTGCAGTCCATCCAGTGCAGCATAGAATGGAATTTTTATTTCCCATGATCTCAGTGTTATACCTCTGTTAATGTAGCTCAGCATTGCATTGGCAGTGCTGTCTTTTACATAATGATCTGTGATTTACCAAGGCATGCAGGTCATACATTTCTCACACTACTTCAAATAATTTATAAATGTATTGAAAAAGTATAGAGACTCAAATGGACCCTTGCAATACACACTACTTCTTTGCAGCTGGATACAGAGTCATTTATGTAAATTATTGGATTCAAATGTTCTGGACCCAGTATCTTTATTATAATTTTATGGAAGACTTTGTCAAATGCTTTGTTAAAGGTCCACCCATTCCCTCAGTAAAATTGGTCACACTTTCAAAAGTGAATTCGAGCTGGCTTGGCATGATTTATTGTTAATAAACTCTAATAAAGAATTTGTTGTTTTCTAAATATTCATGAACCAAGTACTTAATTTATTTTGGAGTTTTGCCTGATATCAACTTCAAGCAGAAGTTGATATCCCTTCCATTTCCTTTTTGGAACAAATTTTCCCTACCTCAGTCCTTATTATCACTGCTTCCTTGCATGATTTCTCAAATATTACCGAAAGGGGTTCTGATATGACATTTGTGATCTCTTTCAGGATTCTGGAACATCATTGAACTGATTCTGGAAACTTAAACTCACTTGTGATAACCAAGTGCTTCCTAACCACCTCTCTCGTTTTAAAGTTTTTTTTTTCAATTCTACTTTTTTATATATAAATAACTCAAAACAGTGAACATACCTAATACTCCTTCCTCTTCCTATCTTCCACAGAATAGCACCTGTCTGAGGTGAATTGGACTAGAATTCACAGTCACCTGGTGATTGGCACTCAGCCGGCTTTCATGCCTAAGGTGGGACTAGAACTCACAGCCTCTGATATTAGCCTGGTGGCTTAACGATTAGACCAATCTGGCTCTCTATTTTTATTTTTATTTAACTTAGATTTTCACTCCATCTTATGTCTTTGATTCTACTTAGGTCCATCTGAACATAGTTCTTGTTTGGGGAGAAGACCAAACCAAAGTAAGAATGGACAAGTCCTATCCTCTTTCTGTCACT